TCGCTTGCTAACATTAGCTAGCCTGCCTCGGCAGCATTATCAAATGATAACATTACATAACCAGCAGTATCTAGACAATACACAATAAACTACGACCTAACTAAGTTGTAATGAGGTAGCTAGCTGCCTCGCTTTATCAAAAGACAGCTACTTACCTAACCAGCAATAACGTTATCTAACGTTGTTAGCTAAGTTATACCAGAGAGGTCATTATATCTCTGGTTATACTCAACACCGCTGGTCGTTGCACACCGGATCCCCATTCAATGGGCGGATTCGATTATGCTGAGCCATGTGCACCGGTCTAATGGGAAAAAGCGGTGAGCGGAGTTGAGCAGTTGGAAATCCCGCTCATCGCTCATGGAGCGGCACTCCCTCCATGTCCTTTTCTACCGCTCCGCTAAAAACCGTTCCACGCTCACAGGGGGAAAAAAACTCCCGCTCCAAATTCGCTCCATTCATTAAAATTACAATTTAACTGTCTGTGGCTTAAAGCTCATGCGATGGTGCCTGGAGAGCCAGCCAGCAGCGGAGAATATCCTCTCCACACTTGCAGAGCCACTGGGGATGCTAAACACCCTTTTGGCCACTGTTGCCAGGCTGGGCAGAGATGCAGAGTTTGTAATTATTTTGTATATATATACTGTAAGTAGGCCTAAAGGTTTTTAGGCAAAATAACCCAAAACGGAAATCTCCTTGAACGTGGGAATATGGCGGGTAGGAGCGTTGTGCCAGTAACCAAAAGGTTGCTGGATCGAATCCCCGAGCTGACCAGGTAAAAAATCTGTCGTTCTGCCCCTGAGCAAGGCAGTTAACCCACTGTTCCCCGGGCGCCGAAGACGTGGATGTCGATTAAGGCATCCTCTCTGATTCAGAGGGGTTGGGTTAAATGCGGAAGACACATTTCAGTTTAATGCATTCATGACTAGGTATCCCCCTTTCCCCCTATTGGGCCAAAATCAATTATTGCCTATTGTATAGATAATACAATGAAAATGAACTAAACGTTTAAGAGATCAGATTTTTAGTTTATAAATACTTTGCTACAGTGACACACTTAGTTATCTACCCACCTCATTCCTTTCTTTTGTTCCTTTCTTTTAACATGTGCACATAGTAATACTTTTTGGATTTCAGATTCCACAATGATTCCGCACTCCCTCTCTTGCTCTTGGTCCTCATCTTTGTAAGTCACCTTGATTTAGCACCTGTGTGTTTTATCAGTTTCTTTATGAAAATATTGAGCAAACTCCATGACAGTAGCTAAAGCAAAGGGCTATTAGCAGCACACAAGTAGACTACAAATGGGGCGGGCATGCCCTGAGCTCGTGAAGTGAGCGCTACTGGAGCGAAATTGGAGCAGGGAGAAGGCCAACGCTCCAGCCTTTGGGAATCTCGCTCCGCGCTCCTCATTCCGCTCCAGCCAAGCTCCGCTCACATACTCTGGCGTTGAGGGAGGACCGTCCTTCTCAAATCGAACAGTAATCTGTGTCGCTCGGTCATGTTGCAATCACTTTTGTATGTGAAAACACAGAATCCTACTCACGTGCTAATTACGTCACTTTTGTTTTGAGCCAACTTGGACATGGGCTTTGAACGGGGCAGCTAGCTCACACCCGGGAGGCAGCCCAGGTCCAAAACGAATGCAAGCAAAACACCCCTCAATGAAGGGAAGCGAAGTGAGCGGAGGGGCGATTTGCACATGGAGCTTGGCAAAAGGGGTCATAATTTGTTTACATATTTGTAATTCAAACCCAACCTTCATTAGCTCCCTGTGACGACGCACTGAGGTTCCAAACTCTGTTTTAGACGAGACTGACTTTTTGACCAAATTATCCTATTTACACTTTGTAGTACATTTTGACAATATAATACATGTTTCTGGCTCATATCAATGCCACATAGGCCATTTTCAAAGGGATTAGTTGCTTTTTAGGGGCAGTCGCTCTTTAAATATCCTGACCAGCGAATACTGAAATTGGCACTTTGGCGCACGTTTTTAAGAACAGACCTCAGATATTGCCATTCCTCCCACCTCAGCACAAGTGAGCTCATATAAGACAGGTAAATTACCAATCCTGGTGCTAGGGATTGAAAATAGAAGAGCGCTGGCATTAACAGGTCGAAATTGCAAACAATCGAGCGTTTGACAGTTGTGCTGGCTTAAGACCAGCCGAAAATAGAGCCCTAAGTGTCACTCAGCCATAGATAGAGTTAGAGAGAGAGAGTGTGTGTGTGTGCTTTAGTGCATCCTTGTTTGAGAAAAAGTGCTGATTGTGGAGCAGTCTTTAAAAAGAGAACAATGTGTAAGTCCCTCCTGAGGCTGGGCTTTATTGTGATTGACAGTTCCAGCACACTTTCCTCTAATGTGATTGGTCCAGGAAGTGTAGTGTTCATTATCTTTCCACCAATCCCAGGAGGACTGAGACACTAAACACACATGCACAAACACACACACAGACAAACACACAGGGGTTTACAAGTCAATTACACCACGACAAGATTAGCCAATTCTCTTATCCTATCTATAATAGCGACTGGAGGTGCACTAACACAGACACACACACACACACACACACACACACACACACACGGTGTGTTCGGATGTTGTAAAGGGGGTTGTGTCACTTGCGTGTCTCAGGGTTTGGCTTAATTTAAATGCCTAAGTGTATGACGTAGGTTAAAACTGTAAAACATCCCATGAAGAACCCTAACACACACATTTACACACACTTCTAATACAAGAGTGTGTTTATTCTATTTCTGCAGTACACACATACCCACACACACTGAAGTTCATTCTCTCTCAGCTGTAGAGACAGTAACTGGATGTGTTTGACTGACTGCTCTAAAATGACTCTGCTGCCTCTAAAATAGAGTGAGTGTGTTCTTGTGTGTTGATAATGTGTGTGTGTGTGTTTTGTTGTGTGTTCGATGTGGAATCTAGAGTTGATTTCCTTAGAGAGTTTGAGTCTGTCAGACTGCAGTACAACATCCTACATACACACACAGAGAACGAGAAACACACACACCAACACACACACATACACTTTTCAGTCCAGCATTTTGCTTTCATCCCTTAATCCCAAACTGCTTAAGGAAGCGAAGGAGAGAAATCCCTTTACAATGTCTGAGCTCAGCATTGCTTGGCAACGGCTCACAGTCTAACTCAGAAATACCAACACACTCACACATCTCACACATCGGATTGTGGTTTGTGGCAGACAAAATGGCCTTTTCCGGACTTCCAGAAGATTTTCCAGCTTCAATATGTAGAATTTGAGTGTGTATTAGAGAGATGGAGACAAAGAGTATTTGTCCTCTGTGTGAGCCCTTCCTACTAAAGAACTGTCATAGAATAACCAACATGACACTTGGAACTTCATTTCCCATCAGGCCTCAGTTACTGCTCCAGTTCACTCAGGGGTAACCATTGTCCTTAGAACCACAACAAGCACTAAAACCGTCTGGATCTTTTATTAACTAGTCTTACTGCTGCTTTACCCTCAGTGGAGGGCACCATAACATCACTCAATACACTCAGAATTACAGCTCAAATACAAAGCCATGATGTTGGTTGATTATTCTGTGTGAAAGGATGATAGATAAAGAGAGGAGGGGGGAGAGGGAGAGAATGAACACTCATCTCTGATCAAGGATGCATGTTTTCAATCCCCCTTTGTTTATTCTGAAGCGTTTATGAATCCATGTTTCTCCCAATTGCTTTTTCCTTACGTGACAGAGAAGCTGACAGGGACAGAAGGAGGAGAGGAGAGAGGGAGCAGCTAAAAGGATGAGGTGGAGGGGGGCAGAGAGAGGGGCCAGGAGGGGAGGAGAGGTAGAGGGGGGTGTTGAGGCTTTTGCTCTGATTCAAATAGACAGTGAGAGACAGTGAGATGGAACATCTGTTTGTGGGTTTCAACTGGCCTCCTGTCTATTGCTTTGCCCCTGTGGAAAAAGAACGTCAAAATGAACGCACTGACCCATTTTCCCCTTTCCTCTCCCTTTCCTTCTTCGTTTCCTCCCTCTCTCACTCCTTCTCTTTTCTTCTCTGCGCTACCAGTCAGGGTAATCTGAAAACCATACTCTGTGTGTGTATGTGGGGTGTTTGTGTGTGTGTGTTCATGTGAAATCCAAACTCAGTGACTCCGGACAGAACAGTCATTATAGAGATGGGAGCACAGACACTTGTCTTTGTCACATTGTGTGTGTATGTGGCCTAGCCCACGTAGGCTGAGAGGAGCAGCTGTGTTGATTGGTTTTAGTACTGAGGGCTTTTCCAAACTCATAACGTCACGCAAGACTGCAGTCTCACTGCTACAGGGCCCACCCAGCCTAGAGACTCACCACACTGCGTGTTTCTCTCTCTGTATGTGTGTGTGTGTCCGTGCGTCAATCTGTGTGTGTGTGAGTGTGTGTGTGTGTGTGTGTGTGTGTGTGTGTGTGTGTGTGCGTGTCTTTATCTATGTGTGTGTCTGCGTGTCTGAATATTAAAAGCTGCAGGGTATAGGAGTTGGATCAGAGCCAGAGACTCAGGGAGCTGCCAACAGAGTGCCAAGAGACATGCAGTAATACACACACACACACACAATCCCCTTCTCTCTCAGCCCTATCCCCTAAGTAACAAGAACCAATATTAGAGAACAGAGAGGTGGGTTTTAACAGACTAGTGTATCTGCTCCTGTATTATTATATGTATTGTCATTATTTCCCCCTGTACATATAGTATGTATTCATCTGTTAATCTCCCAACTGGGACACTTTGTCAGGTTCTGACTGACACTGGGATGAGCTGTGCTGTTTAGAGGAGAGGATCCTGGTGATTGGACATAAATACCCCAAGTAAAGTGGTGCTAGAATAAATAGTACCTGCCTGGTGTGGTGCAGGTGAAATGGCGTGGGCCTGTGGTGCAGGTGAAATGGCGTGGGCCTGTGGTGCAGGTGAAATGGCGTGGGCCTGTGGTGCAGGTGAAATGGCGTGGGCCTGTGGTGCAGGTGAAATGGCGTGGGCCTGTGGTGCAGGTGAAATGGCATGGGCCTGTGGTGCAGGTGAAATGGTGGGGCCCGTGTAGCAGGTGAAATGGCGTGGGCCTGTGGTGCAGGTGAAATGACATGGGCCTGTGGTGCAGGTAAAATGGTGTGGGGCCCGTGGTGCAGGTGAAATGATGTGGGCCTGTGGTTCAGGTGAAATGGTGGGGCCCGTGGTGCAGGTGAAATGGTGTTTGGCCTGCGGTGCAGGTGAAATGGTGTGAGATAAACATGTGATGTGAATGTGAAAGGTTCTACAAGCGCTGTCTGTGAACTACTGATACTCTGCAACAATGCATTATATTTTATTGTCCCAGATTCTTTAGAAAATGTGAAATCATCAATCTTATCTTGTGTTTGTTTTCCAGGAGTTTGCCACTCTGACCAAGGAGCTGAACATGTGTCGGGAACAGCTGCTGGAGAAAGAAGAGGAAATATCTGAACTGAAAGCTGAGAGGAACAACACCAGGGTAAGAGTGTGTGCATGTGTTACTGAGTGTATAATGTGTGTATAACGTGTGATGTCTCTATTCTAGCTTCTCTTGGAGCACCTGGAGTGTCTGGTGTCTCGTCACGAGCGCAGTCTGAGGATGACAGGTGGTGAAGAGACAAGCTCCTCCTCCCTCTGGGGTCTCCAGCGAGGTGGAGGTCCTCAAGGCCCTCAAGTCCCTGTTCGAACACCACAAAGCCCTGGATGAGAAGGTGTGTGTGTACCTTTATCTCACTGAAAACCAGGCTTTAATTCCAATCCAAAATAACACTGTGGTTGTGTGTCTTACAGGTGCGTGAGAGGCTTCGGGTGGCTCTTGAGAGAGTGACTACACTAGAGGGACAGTTATCAGCCACAACTCAGGAGGTGTGTGTTTGTGTGTGTGTGTGTGTGTGGGTGTGCATGTATAACATCTGTCCTGTCCCCACCTGCCATCTGCTGATGCCCCCAGTCTGTTAGCTATTCTGAACAACCAACATGCAACCAAGGGACTGTCTCTTCAGCTCTCTGGACAAGACTGCAGAACCCCTCTCTCTCTCTCTCTCTCTCTCTCTGTCTCCCCTCTCTTCTGCTCGCTCTCTCTCTGTCTCCCCTCTCTTCTGTTCTCTCTCTCTTCCTTCTCTTAGCACACACACAGAACCAAGGCACACTCTCTTTCTGTTAAAATGTCTCTTACTCGTTCATTCAATAATTTGTTCCCTCTATGTTTCTCTCTCTCCCTTTCTCCTGTTCTCATCTGTTCAACAAGAATCCATTACAAAGGCAAATGAGACTAAATATTCAGTACAAGCTGTGCTGTGCACAGGAAAACCCAAATGCAATCCAAAGTAATAACTTGTTAGGTTCATTTTCTGGTCCTGTACTGTGTGTTGCACCTTTCACCTGCTGTCTCCCCAACTCACTGGAGCCTACATAGAATAGAACAGAATATAATAGAAAATAATAGAATAGAAAGTTATAGAATAGAAAGTTATAGAATAGATATGCCTAGTTTGGCAAACTGTTTGAGATAAGAATGTCAATGACCACAATATCGTCAGGAAAACATATTGTATTTTCTTTCTCAGATTATTCCAGAAGCAGTACTAAAAGAGACAGGAACTTTAGAGAAACGTTCATTGCCCATTCCACAGAATCCTCTGAATATTCCTGAAGTGTGTACCTGGTGTTGTGATGTTCCTGTGTGGAGCGATGGGATGGGGCGTCTAGGGCCTGCAGCAGCCAGGGACATCTGTCTCAACTGAGGACAGTCACAGCCTGTTAGAACTCTGGAACTGGGATCAGGACTTCCATTGGTGCTGCTGTAGGAAGCTGTAGAATAGACACACATAGAGAGTTAGAAAGGGAGAGATAGATAGGGAAGCACAGGTAGATAGAGGGGGCAGAGCCATCTCACTCCCACACAGTCTGAGGGACCAGATGGCCTCACCAGGACTACAATATCACATCTAATCATCTCAGCTCAGAGGTGTGTGTGTGTGTGTACTTGTTTTCCTACCTTATCAGGACCCCAATGTCCAAACAATTCACCCAAATGTCCTGACAAGGTAGGAAAACAATAACTTTTTTTGAAATGTCAGGACTTTTTTCATGTCCTGAATTTGTTCAAATTCTATTTTAAGCTTAAGGGTTAGGGTTTTGGGGTTAGGGTTAGGGTTAAGGTTAAGGTTTTTGGGGTTAAGATTAGGGTTAAGGTTAGGGGTACGGTTAAGTTTAGGGTTAGGGGTTAGGGGTTAGGGAAAATAGGATATTTAATGGTTAAAAGAAAATACTCACCAAAAAGTCCTGGAATTTCACGAAAATAAAGCTGTGTGTTAATGTGTATGTCTCTGTGTGTGAGTCCCTGAAGAGCAATGTGATGCAGCTTTGGATCTCCTCCTTCATTTTGTGTAAAGCCAAAACATGCCTACCTACCAGCACTCAAACACAACCTAGTGTAGACAAACCTGCATCCAGCATCAGTTAGACCGCCTGATACTCCACCTTTACCTAGAGGTGACCCTTTGCCCTCTGTGTGTGTGTTTGTGTGGGTGTGTGTGTATGTGTGTGTGTGTGTGTGCGTGCGTGTGTGTGTCTGCAGCTGACCGTTGTGAGGCAGAGGAAGGAGGGAGAATCTTTGGACAGGAACGACGCATCCAAATCCACCTGGAAGGTCTGTCTTTCTCTCTGTCTCTGTCTGTCGGTATGTCTATCTATCTTTCTCTCTGTCTCGCTCTCTCTCACACACACGCTCACACACACACACATTGCTGATGAGTTAGGCTAAATGCAGAATCTACTCTGTGGTTTAAAGCTCTTTTGTCATTGTGGTGATTATAATGCAGTTTGAGCCCTACTGTACAACCAGATAGCCCTGTCCTCTCTCCCTCTCCTAGTAATATTCCCTGAAATGAGCATGTGTTATGTAACCCTGTCTGTGTCTGTCTATGTCTGTCCACGGGGAATAATGAAGCTTTATGTAGTTAATCATGGAGGACAGTTTGTGCCTGGTCAGTAATCCCACAAGAGGATCAGATGACAGAGCATTCATTGAGCATTAGAAACATGGCTGGAAGTTTACCTGGGATGTATGGGTTCTGTTATAATGCTTTATCATCCTAATAAGATAATTAGTTGTTCCTTTCTTTGGTCAAGAGTTTTCTATCCAAGATGGCGTAGCAGTGCGGTCGTGTTCTATGTTGTGTGTCCGTGTAAATAGCCTGTTTTTTGTATTTTTTTGGGTATTTTTCATACATATTTCCTTATCACACTTTTCATCCTTCTACTAAATATACTTTCCTGCAACCCGCCTCACTCAATGTGGAACGGATTCTATTATTTACTCACCTTTATCTAGAATCTCCAGTTGAAACTAGCTAGTCAGCTAACTAGCTACTTGCTATTAGCCACCGTTAGCGGTTTTCACCCAGAACATCGGATTTTCTGCCGGAATAACTGAATCAATGGACCTTAACACCGGATCGCAACTATCTAGCCGCAACCAAATGGACGTTGCTGTAGGCTAATCACCACTGCCCCCGAAGCAAGCACCAGTTGCCTTGAGCCAGGCCCATATCCCAGCTATCTACCTCTTTGTCTACCGGACGGGAGTAGCTAGCTAACTAGCTACTTGCTATTAGCCACCATTAGCGTTTTTCACCATTGTCCGTGGCCTGCACTACCTACCAGCCAGCTCTAGCCTGGACTATTATCGTCCAGTCTGCACTGTCTGCACAGCGCGTTATCGACCCAGAACACATCAGATTTTCTGCCGGAATCACTAAATCACTGGACCTTTAACACCTGATCATCACAACTAGCTAGCTGCAACCAAATGGATGTTGTTGTTGGCTAATCAGCTTTGAGCTAGCCTTGAGTCCGGCACATCTCCAGGCTATCTACCTCTCTGTCAACCGGACGGGAACTCCTAGAGTCGACACGGAGCCCCGCCGATCCATCACAACTGGTCTGCCGACGTAATGATCTGTGGTTTCAACAGGCTTCCCGTTGAAACGACCACGAACATCCATCTGCTAGCCCCGGCCCACTAGCACACGCAAACAACAGCCATGCTTCCTGCTCGCTGTGCTTTAGCACCAATTCGAACTGCTCTCAGACTCACATATTGCTGTTCACTGGACCTTATGATCACTCAGCTGCACAGCTGATGCCTGCTGGACTGTTCCTTTACACGGTACCCTGTCCTGTTTATCTGTTTAGCCTCAGCCCAAACTTTCATCGCCATTACCAGTTGTTGTCTTAGCTCTCTCTAATAACACCTGTGATTGCTTTATGCCTCTCTCCCATGTCAATATGCCTTGCCTATTGCTGTTCCAGTTAGTTCTTATTATACAATTTCAATATAGAACCCCAAGTCATTCTCAAACTGCCTCAAATAGCTCCTTTGTTCCACCCCCCATACACGCCGAGACCGGCTCAATCGGTGCCTCCAGTGATGCTATCTCTTTCATTGTTACCCAACGCTTAGGTTTACCTCCACTGAACTCATATCCTTCCATATCCTTGTCTGTACATAATGCCCTGAATCTATTCTACAATGCCCGGAAATCTGCCCCCATTATTCTCTGTACCCAACGCACTAGAAGACCAGTTCTTAAAGCCTTTAGCCATATCCTTATTCTAGTCCTCCTCTGTTCCTATGGTGATGTAGAGGCTAACCCAGGCCCTGCAGCCCCCAGTATCACTCCTACTCCCCAGGAGTTATAATTTGTTGACTTCTGTAACAGTAAAAGCCTTGGTTTTCTGCACGTTAACATCAGAAGCCTCCTTCCTAAGTTTGAGTTATTCACTGCATTAGCACACTCCGCCAACCCTGATGTTCTAGCAGTGTCTGAATCCTGGCTTAGGAAGATCCCCAACTACAACATTTTCTGTCTAGATAGAACTGCCAAAGGGGGTGGAGTTGCAATCTACTGTAGAGATAGCCTGCAGAGCTCTGTCATACTATCCAGGTCTGTGCCCAAACAGTTTGAGCTCCTACTTCTAAAAATCCACCTTTCCAGAAATAAGTCTCTCACTGTTGCCGCTTGCTACAGCCCCCCCTCAGCCCCCAGCTGTGCCCTGGACACCATATGTGAATTGATTGCCCCCCATCTATCCTCAGAGTTCGTACTGCTTGGTGACCTAAACTGGGATATGCTTAACACCTCGGCCATTCTACAATCCAAACTAGATGCCCTCAATCTCACACAAATTATCAAGGAACCTACCAGGTACAACCCTAAATCCGTAAACATGGGCACCCTCATAGATATCATCCTGACTAACTTACCCTCTAAATACACCTCCGCTGTCTTCAACCAGGATCTCAGCGATCACTGCCTTATTGCCTGCGTCCGTAACGGGTCCGCGGTCAAACGACCACCCCTCATAACTGTCAAACGCAACCTAAAACACTTTAGCAAGCAGCCCTTCCTAATTGACCTGGCCCAGGTATCCTGGATGGATATCGATCTCATTCCGTCAGTAGAGGATGCCTGGTTGTTCTTTAAAAGTGCTTTCCTCTCAATCTTAAATAAGCATGCCCCATTCAAATAATTCAGAACTAAGAACAGATATAGCCCCTGGTTCTCCTCAGACTTGACTGCCCTTGACCAGCACAAAAACATCCTGTGGCGTACTGCATTAGCATCGAATAGCCCCCGCGATATGCAACTTTTCAGGGAAGTTAGGAAAGCAAAGGCTAGCTTTTTCAAACAGAAATTTGCATCCTGTAGCACTAACTCCAAAAGGTTTTGGGACACTGTAAAGTCCATGGAGAATAAGAGCACCTCCTCCCAGCTGCCCACTGCACTGAGGCTAGGAAACACTATCACCACCGATAAATCTACAATAATCGAAAATTTCAACAAGCATTTTGCTATGGCTGGCCATGCTTTCCACCTGGCTACCACTACCCCGGCCACCAGCTCTGCACCCTCCGCTGCAACTTGCCCATGCCACCCCCGCTT